CTGCTTGTACTGTTCATAGCGCGTACAATGTTATGCGGAAGTGCACATTGTGCGAGTACCTGCAAATGCTTCAAGCAAAAATTGCGAGAGCAAACAAACACACCAACATACCATTCATACGCAATTGCATTCGTACACGCATACTCGTACAAACAGACGGCAGGATGTCGTGCAATGTGAATTTGCACCCAACATGTAGCAGGGCAGGTACTATAGGGGTACAATTGAGGTGAAGGTTGGATATTGTTTATCTGTATCTGCTTGCTACAGGGCCAGGGGAAACCAGCGGAACCAGCATTTGGCTGGTTGGGCAAGGACAAAACAGGTTCTGTTTTTAGGACCTGAACCTGGTTATTGTTTTCCCAGGTTGGAAAAACAGAACCAGAGGTTGTTTACCAACCTACCACCTGCTGTTTTCTGCTGCTTGGAAATATTTGGGATCATCCCTGGTTGTTCCCAGGTTGATTCCCAAGATCCTTGCTAGCTAGAGCTATTTATTCCTTCTCTGTTTGTACCCGAATATAGTTAATTTGATTCAAGCAAATTCCTCCCTTCCTTGAATTTCGTTTGTACGCACTGCGATCGCGGAATGCTACTCGAGTCAACGCTAGTACGCTAGCACTCCAACGCTAGGCAAACGCTGTTCGAGCCATAACTTTGTAATGGCAGAACTTTTCGCGAGGCAACTTGGCGTATTTTAAAGCTCTTGGAGTGAGCTTAATCTGGTCGACGGTCTACACGATACGTTGTGCGACATTGAACGTACTCTTGTTATTGTGACTTGGTCATTCTTGATCCCTCTCTACAATCTCGGACCCGAAGATAGGGGCTGGTCTTGTACCAGGCACCCAAGGACCCTTGGAGGTGACCCCGAGGAGAGGTTTTAAGTTTGATAAAGTCTTAATAGTTTAAGTTTATTAGGCCCTTACACCAACAAGCTGGTATCAGAGCTGCGTTATAGTGATCCTTGATATAGGTAGCTATGGCGGGCAATACCTCGACGGGAGCTGGTGAATCTTCAGCCCAAGATCACAGCGGCAGCCATGATTCTGGTGTTTCAGCGCCAAGGGGAGCGCGAACAGACCAGGGCTCGCTGGTCAAGGAGGTGCTGAAGAATTTCACCATCGAGAAGTTCAATGATGAGGGCTATGATGATTGGGCCTGGAAAATGCAACTATATTTCCGTCAGATTCGATTGCTAGAACTAATGATTGGTCAAGAGCCTAATCCGAGTGACCCCGCGCTGCAGGAAGATTGGGACGAGGACTCCTCGGCTGGCTACTATTTGATATCGCAAAGTTTGGAGCTGAACCTGCGTCACCACGTCATGCACCTGCTGCCGGAGGTTGAGTGCGGTCCGAAGGCGTGGACCGTGTTGAAGGAGCTGCACGCCCCGACCTCCGTTGTTGCAACGTTGATGCTGGAGAGGGATCTGTCCCCGTTGCGCCTTAGCGAGGAGAGCCGGTGCAACCTGTCCTGGACAAATTGCGCGACCTCTACGCAAAGTTGGCGACCGCGGGAATCACCTACTCGGAGCAGACCAAGTGCCTAAAGATGCTCTCGCTGCTGCCGGAATTGTGGCTTCAATTCACGAGCAGATTTAGCCTGCCGCAGAACCAGAGCTCGAGGACACTCGAGTGGGTGCGGACAAAGATTCTGGAGGAGCACTTCCGTCGCCGCCAACTGAGGGGTGGAGAGGACGGCAGCAGCGGCTATGGGATGCAAGGATGTTGGACGTGGCTTCGGCGGACAAAGATTCTGGAGGAGCACTTCCGTCGCCGCCAACTAAGGGGTGGAGACGTGGCAGAGGACGTGGCTTCGGTGGTGCTAGACGCAATGCAAAGAAGGACGACGTCTCCAACGACCAACAAGGAGGTACCGGTTGGGGTAGCGGTGCGAAATCTGGACGCGGAGGCAAGTCGGGTGCTGGTGGCAAAATGAAAGGGAGTTGCTGGTATTGTGAGGAGGGGCACCCCTGGTTTTTGTGCCATAAGAAACCCAATGGATGGACCCCCCAGAATCGTCACCAGGATGGCGGCGCGCGGAGGAACCAGAAAAACGGCGCGAGCATGGTCGCCGATTCGTCTGACAACAACCTGAAGAGCTACGGCGGTGCGGAAAAGAAGAAGGAGCGCACCGCGGGCCAGTTTTTCCATATTGGAGAACAGGGGGAGCAGGGGGAGCTAGAAGACGCCTCTGCCAAGGTTGGAGCAGATCTGCACCCCCTGGATTGTTGGGTGTTGGACACGGGCGCTGCTTGGACGATGATGCCGCGCAAGGACCTGCTGGACGACGTACGCGCTGGACCGATCAACAAGGTGTGCTCCGCCTCTGGACACGCGCTGAAGGTGGCTGGTGCGGGACGAGCTGCGTCTAACGGGGTGGATGGCATGCCGGTGGTGCTGGACGACGTTCTCCTCGTTCCTGAACTCAAGGCCAACCTCATCTCCCTCCGTAAGCTTGGCAAGGCTGGGGTGAGCACTAGCACGGATGGGGCACGCACTTACAAGGCGCAGCTGGGCAATCGGGTGCTTTGGGATCTGCACGAGAGCACGGACATGTACAGTTTTATGTGGCAGCTGCCGGCGTTGGCGTAGCATGGTAGGGGGCAGGCTAGAGAGGGGTCTGCATCCTAGGGGGAGTGCATGTTGATGTAAGGGCCTAATAAACTCAAGCTATTAAGACTTTATCAAACTTAACCCTCTCCTCGAGGTCACCTCCAAGGGTCCTTGGGTGCCTGGTACAAGACCAGCCCCTATCCTTGGGTCCGAGTTTGTAGAGAGAGGGATCAAGAGGGACTAAGTCAAAACAGCAAGAGTACCTTGAACGTCGCGCAGCGTATCGTGGAGACCGTCGATCAGATTAAGCCGAGAATTTCCTTTATCGAAGCTCAATCTAAGAGCTTTAAAATAAGCCAAGTTGCCTCGCGAAAAGTTCTGCCATTACGAAGTTATGGCTCGGACAGCGTTAGCCTAGCGTTGGAGTGCTAGCGTACTAGCGTTGACTCGGGTAGCATTCCGCCGTCGCACTGCGTAGAAAGGAAATTCCAGCAAGGAAGGAATTCGCTTGAATCAATTTCACTATATTCAGGTACAAACAGAGAAGGAATATATAGTTATAGCTAGCATGGACCTTGGGAATAAACCTGGGAACAACTAGGGATGATCCCAAATAATTCCAAGCAACAGAACCAACCTGGCTGGACAAAACAGCAGGTAGTAGGTTGGTAAACAACCTCTGGTTCTGTTTTTCCAACCGGGAAAAACAACAACCAGGTTCAGGTCCTAAAAACAGAACCTGTTTTGTCTTTGCCCAACCAGCCAAATGCTGGTTCCGCTGGTTTCCCCTGGCCCTGTAGCATGCAGATACAGACAAACAACATCCAACCTTCACCTAAATTGTACCCCTATAGTGCCTGCCCTGCTACACTATAGTCAACCAAACAAAACAGTACAATTTCGAGTTGGATAGAACTGAATCTGCGCAATCAAGTAAGCCGAACCACAAAGCTTCCATCTTGGGTTCCTTTGCGAGCTCGTCCTTTCTGCTTGTACTATTCATAGCGCGTACAATGTTATGCCGAAGCGCACATTGTGCAAGTACCTGCAAATGCTTCAAGCGAAAATTGCGAAAGCAAACAAACACACGAACATACTATTCACACGCAAATGCATTCGCACACGCATACTCGTACAAACAGACGGCAGGATGTCGTGCAATGTGAATTTCCACCTAACAGTGCAACGCCGTTGGAGGAGTTGGTATGAAAGTGTCGGCCAGATCTGGGGAGACGGATTGGGCAACGGCACACCAACGCTTGGGGCATGTGGCAACGCCCTTGTTGAAGCAGTTAGAGAAAGATGGAGCCGTTAAGGGTCTGAAGCTGAACGGACAGCCACTTGATGAGAATTATGAAATCTGTTTGCTCTCAAAGTTTACCTGTTTCCCCTTCCATAATGTGGCTGGCATGAGCAAGAAGCCGTTGAAGCTGGTCCACATGGACTTGGTGGGGCCGCTGCTGGTTCAGGGACACAAGGGGGAGCGGTACTTTGTGACCATAGTGGATGATTGGAGCAGGCTTGTGTGGGCATATCCGCTGAAGCAGAAGGACCATGCCGCCTCTACGATAAGGGAAGATTGGCTGCCATTCGTGGAGAAGCAAGCGGAGTGTGTGGTGAAGCGGATTAGGACAGATCGGGGTGGTGAGTTCCTTGGAGCTGAGATGACGGCCTGGCTCAAGAAGTAGGGCATCCAGAGGGAGCTGACCATGGCTTACACCCCACAGTCTAACGGTGTAGCAGAACGGGCGAACCGGACAATTCTGGAGACAGCTAGGGCGCTGCTCATAGAATCTGGGCTGGGCAACTTGATGTGGCCCCATGCTGTTCGGCACACTACTGTCGCTAGGAACAGGGTACTCACCAAGGTTGGGGATGACTCGTGGGTGCCGTTGGAGAGGTGGCTTGGGAGGAAGCCGCCGGTGGACATGCTGAGGGTGTTCGGTTGCATGGCAGTCGCCCACGTCCCCAAGACCTACCGCAGTAAGTTGGGGGCAAGTGCAATCTGGTGTGTGCATTTGGGGCTGGCTGCTGAGAGCAAAGGATGGCTGCTGTGGGAACCTTCCAAGGGTGTTTTATTTGACAGCAGGGATGTGAAGTTTGTTGAGGGCATGATGTATGGGAGCTGGGAGAAACAGCCAGAGGCCAGGGTGTCCCAGCAGAAGGAGCAGATCACCATGTAGCTGGACCTGACTCCTAGTGTGTGGGAGAAGGGAGAGGAGGCAGCTGCAGAGGGTGGTGATGGAGAGAAGGTGCAGGAGGCACCTGCTGGTGAAGGTGATGGTGTGGAGACTAGCGGTAGCACAAATGGAGCTGCTGAATCCGAGGGAGGAGAGCAACAGCAGGGAAAAACTAAGAAGCCGAAGGGTGTTGTTATGAGGGGATGGGAGACACCCGTCTCCAGGTCAGGACGTACCCGTCTTTGTATAGGCCACTGCAGTCATGGCTACCCCCAGTGTCCTCACTTTTGATGCTAAGGGCCGTGCGATTGACTTTGAGGTCTGGGTCAATGACCTCCAGCTGTTTCTTCAGGCGGACGGCCTCTCCCTGTTTGACCTCACTTCTGGTGCCTCTCCTGCCCCTGCTGCTGATGCTAACGCCACTGTTCACTCACAGTGGGCCATGCGCGATGCTGCTGCTTGCCTTACTGTGTGCCGCCACTTACCGACCACTGAGCGTGCACAGTTTAGCCAGTACAAGAGTGCTCAGATCTTGTACGACGCTGTAGTTGCACGCTACTCTTCCCTTTCACTGCTGCACTGACCTTGCTGCCTTTTCCATAGTCGCTGACCTCATTACGCACCTCCGCACTCTTGACACTCGCTACCGCGCTGCGCATCCTGCTGAGTTCTGCGCCAAGAACCCACCCCCGTCATGTACATCACCCTCTACTACATAGTCACCCGGCTCCCTGACTCTCTCCGCGTAGTCAGGGACCACTTCCTCTCAGTTTGCCCCACCACTCTCACAGTTGACCTCCTCGAGAAGGCCCTCCTAGCGATGGAGAAGAGCATAGTTGCTAAATGAGCCTCTCGTGGTGACCCTCGCACCCCCGTCTTTGAGGGGTGTTCTCCTTCCCCCCTCTTGCCCTTTGTTGCTTCTGCTGCTGCGGCCGACCTCGATGGTTTTGAGTCGGTCGGTGCTGCGTCTGCCCCGAGCGGGAGACGCCGCACCGGCAAGGGCAAGGGGGGCATGGGTGCCAGAGGAACTGGAGGGGGCGATGGAGGTGGTGGTGGAGGCAGTGGAGGGAGTGGGGGTGGTAGTGGGAGTGGTGCTGGGGGTGGCGGCGGCGGTAGCAGCAGTGGAGGCGGCGGACGTAGTGGAGGAGGCGGAGGTAGTGGAGGAGGCGGAGGTGGAGGAGGCGGCGGCGGCGGCGGCGGAGGCGGCAGTGGTGGAGCGGGTCGCGACTCTGCGTAGAGGAGTGGCGCCTGTGCTGGTCAACGCCACCAGCAGCAGCGGAGTGGTGTGACCCTATCCCCTCAGCAGCTTCGTGAGTGGTACACTTCGCGTCAGCGCGGTGGAGGTTTTGGTCCCTGCGCTTACGTCCTCCGTACCGGCGACCGCGCTGGTGAGCAGTGAGGAGGCCCGCAGTCCACCTAGTGCTGCTTTGGACGCCTGACGAACGCGTGGCGTCGCCAGTTCCCTGAGGCGTCAGAGATCTCTCGTAGGAGAGATCTGACTAAGGCCGTGGTTGCTATCTTTCATCTTGACTTTGATGCTATTCTTGCTGCTATGTATGGTGACGATACTAGTGTTGAGGGTGCCTGTTACCTGTGAATACCGCCTGACCTGGGCATTGAGGCCGCTGCTCTAGGTGCTGGTGAGGCTGCTGCTATAAGTAGTGTTGGTGTAAGGGCCTAATAAACTCAAGCTATTAAGAATTTCTCAAACTTCAAACCTCTCCTCGGGGTCACCTCCAAGGGTCCTTGGGTGCCTGGTACAGGACCAGCCCCTATCCTCGGGTCAGAGATTGTAGAGAGAGGGATCAAGAATGACTTAGAGTACCTTGAACGTCGCGCAGCGTATCCTGCAAACGGACGACCAGATTAAGCTGAGAATTTCTTATATCGAAGCTCACTCCAAGAGCTTTAAAATAAGCCAAGTTGCCTCGCGAAAAGTTCTGCCATTACAAACTTATGGCTCGAATAGCGTTTGCCTAGCATTGGAGTGCTAGCGTACTAGCGTTGACTCGGGTACCATTCCGCTGTCTCAGCGCATAGAAACGAAATTCCAGGAAGGGAGGAATTCGCTTGAATCAAATCGACTATATTCAGGAACAAACAGAGAAGGAAAAAATAGCTCTAGCTAGCAAGGACCTTGGGAATCAACCTGGGAACAACCGAGGATGATCCCAAATAATTCCAAGCAACAGAACCAACCTGGCTGGACAAAACAGCAGTTGGTAGGTGGTAAACAACCTCTGGTTCTGTTTTTCCAACCTGGGAAAACAACAACCAGGTTCAGGTCCTAAAAACAGAACCTGTTTTGTCTTTGCCCAACCAGCCAAATGCTGGTTCCGCTGGTTTCCCCTGGCCCTTGTTGGTGTTGTTGGGTGCAAATTCACATTGCACGACATCCTGCCGTCTGTTTGTACGAGTATGCGTGTGCGAATGCATTTGCATGTGAATGGTATGTTCGTGTGTTTGTTTGCTTTCGCAATTTTCGCTTGAAGCATTTGCAGGTATTTGCACAATGTGCGCTTCGGCATAACATTCTACGCACTATGAACAGTACAAGCAGAAAGGACGAGCTCGCAAAGGAACCCAAGATGGAAGCTTTGTGGTTCGGCTTACTTGATTGCGCAGATTCAGTTCTATCCAACTCAAAATTGTACTGTTTTGTTTGGTTGACTATAGTGTAGCAGGGCAAGCACTATAGGGGTACAATTTAGGTGAAGGTTGGATGTTGTTTGTCTGTATCTGCATGCTACAGGGCCAGGGGAAACCAGCGGAACCAGCATTTGGCTGGTTGGGCAAAGACAAAACAGGTTCTGTTTTTAGGACCTGAACCTGGTTATTGTTTTCCCACGTTGGAAAAACAGAACCAGAGGTTGCTTACCAACCTACTACTTGCTGTTTTGTCCAGCCAGGTTGGTTCTGTTGCTTGGAATTATTTGGGATCATCCCTGGTTCTTCCCAGGTTCATTCCCAAGGTCCTTGCTAGCTAGAGCTATTTATTCCTTCTCTGTGTGTTCCTGAAAATAGTGAAATTGATTCAAGCGAATTCCTTCATTGCTGGAATTTCCTTTCTACGCGGTGCGACGGCGGAATGCTACCCGAGTCAACGCTAGTATGCTAGCACTCCATTTTTCACGAGGCAACTTGGCTTATTTTAAAGCTCTTAGAGTGAGCTTCGATATAGGAAATTCTCAGCTTATTCCGATCAACGGTCTACATGATACGCTGCGCGACATTCAAGGTACTCTTGCTGTGTTGACTAAGTCCCTCTTGATCCCTCTCTCTACAAACTCGGACCTGAGAATAGGGGCTGGTCTTGTACCAGGCACCCTAGGACCCTTGGAGACGCATTGGGCAGCTGCAGACCGACGCTTGGGGCATGTGGCAATGCCTTTGCTGAAGCAGCTGGAGAAGGATGGAGCCGTTAAGGGCTTGAAGCTGAACGGACAACCACCCGATGATAACTGTGAAATTTGCCTCCTTTCAAAGTTCACGTGTTTCCCCTTCCATAGTGTGGCTGGCAGGAGCAAAAAGCTGTTGGAGCTGGTCCCCATGGACTTGGTGGGGCCGGTGCCGGTGCAAGGGCACAAGGGGGAGCAGTACTTCCTAACCATACTGGATGACTGGAGCAGGCTAATGTGGGCGTATCCGCTGAAGCAGAAAGATCACGCCGCCTCCACAATTCGGGACAATTGGCTGCCGTTCGTGGAGAAGCAAGCGGAGTGTGTGGTGAAGCGGATTAGGACAGATCGGGGTGGTGAGTTCCTTGGAGCTGAGATGACGGCCTGGCTCAAGAAGCAGGGCATCCAGAGGGAGCTGACCACGGCTTACACCCCACAGTCCAACGGTGTAGCAGAACGGGCAAACCGGACAATTCTGGAGACACCTAGGGCGCTGCTCATAGAATCTGGGCTGGGCAACTTGATGTGGCCCCATGCAGTTCGGCACGCTACCGTCGCTAGGAACAGGGTACTCACCAAGGTTGGGGATGACTCGTGGGTGCCGTTGGAGAGGTGGCTTGGGAGGAAGCCGCCGGTGAACATGCTGAGGGTGTTCGGTTGCATGGCAGTCGCCCACGTCCCCAAGACCTACCGCAGTAAGTTGGGGGCGAGTGCAATCTGGTGTGTGCATTTTGTCGGTTTAAGGGCCAAATAAACTCAAGCTATTAAGACTTAAAACCTCTCCTCGGGGTTACCTCCAAGGATCCTTCGGTGCCTGGTACAAGACCAGCCCCTATCCTCGGGTCCGAGTTTGTAGAGAGAGGGATCAAGAGGGACTTAGTCAAAACAGCAAGAGTACCTTGAACGTCGCGCAGCGTATCGTGCAGACCGTAGATCGGATTGAGCTCGGAGTTTACTATATCGAAGCTCACTCTAAGAGCTTTAAAATAAGCCAAGTTGCCTCGCGAAAAGTTTTGCCATTACGAAGTTATAGCTCGGACAGCGTTAGCCTAGCGTTGGAGGGCTAGCGTACAAGCGTTGACTCGGGTAGCATTCCGCCGTCGCACCGTGTAGAAAGGAAATTCCAGCAAGGAAGGAATTCGCTTGAATCAAATTGACTAAATTCAGGTACAAACAGAGAAGGAATAAATAGCTCTAGCTAGCAAGGACCTTGGGAATCAACCTGGGAACAACCAGGGATGATCCCAAATAATTCCAAGCAACATAACCAACCTGGCTGGACAAAACAGCAAGTAGTAGGTTGGTAAACAACCTCTGGTTCTGTTTTTCCAACCTGGGAAAACAACAACCAGGTTCAGGTCCTAAAAACAGAACCTGTTTTGTCTTTGCCCAACCAGCCAAATGCTGGTTCCGCTAGTTTCCCCTGGCCCTGTAGCATGCAGATACAGACAAACAACATCCAACCTTCACCTAAATTGTACCCCTATAGTGCCTGCCCTGCTACACTATAGTTGCCCAAACAAAACAGTACAATTTCGAGTTGGATAGAACTGAATCTGCGCAATCAAGTAAGTTGAACCGCAAAGCTTCCATCTTGGGTTTCTTTGCGAGCTCGTCCTTTCTGCTTGTACTGTTCATAGCGCGTACAATGTTATGCCGAAGCGCACAATGTACGAGTACCTGCAAATGCTTCAAGCGAAAATTGCGAAAGCAAACAAACACACGAACATACCATTCACGGGCAAATGCATTCGCACACGCATACTCGTACAAACAGACGGCAGGATGTCGTGCAATGTGAATTTTGCACCCAACACACTCCCCCTCAGCCTGCCGGCTGCATCCCCATCATTCCATACTAGTGCATGCTCATTCCACTCATGCGCACACAACGCCAATGAGGCTCATCCGCAAGCCTCTTGGTGAGGAAGTCTGCTGGCTGCTGGTGAGTCTTGATGTAGATCGGATTCACCGTCCCCCTCTTCACCTCCTTACGCAGCCAGTGCCACTTGATACGCATGTGCTTATTGAGCCCATGAAGCACAGCGTTCCTGGCCATCCCAAGAGCTCCCTTGCTATCACAAAACAGCGGCGTAGCAACCTTTTGCTCCTGGCCAATCTCCTCCAACAGCCTCCTCAGCCAAATCACCTCCTTCACTCCATGAAACATTGCCATGTACTCTGACTCCACGGAAGAGAGTGTTGTCTCCGTCTGCTTCTTTGACCTCCAACTAACCGGTCCTCCCCCAACTACGCAAATGTATCCTCCCTCAGATGAGTAATCCTCCTTCTCAGAGGCCCACGTAGCATCGGTAAAGCAAGTGAGAAAAAGCTTGCCTTCTCCAAGCCTCTCCCCCTTCTCTTTCAGCACCTCAACCCCTTTCAGCTTCACCTGTGCAGATGCGGAGTATTGAACTTCAATGCTTGGGTGAGAGTTCAGATACTTCACCACACGCTCAGCTGCATCGACCTGCTCCTGTGATAGATTCTGCACCACCCTAGCCAGCTGCCCAACCGAGAAAGAGATGTCGGGCCTCGTGTGAACTGCTGCATACAAGAGACTGCCCACCAAGGACTGAAATTGCTGCTGCTCCTCGGCTTCAACCCCTTCATCCTCTGCAGCTTTCACAAGCTTGAATTCTGCTGGCAGGGGAGTTGCAACCTTGCGCTCATTCTCAATTCCGTACTTCTCCCCAAGCTCCTTGATGAACTTCTCCTGGTGCAGCTTCAACCACCTGTGATCCAGATCCCTCTCCACGTGCATCCCTATGTAGTACTTTACCTCCCCAAGGTTCTTGCACTTGAAGTTCTCCATCAGCTGCTGCTGCACCTTCTGGATCTCCTCCATGCTGCTGCTAAAGAGAAGAATGTCGTCCACATAGACCAGAAAC